GTAGTGTGAGAGGGGCTGCGATGCGGTAATATGTGGTTGATGAGTGTGGGGTAGTGTGAGAGGGGCTGCGATGCGGTAATATGTGGATGAGTGTGGGGTAGTGTGAGAGGGGCTGCGATGCGGTAATATGTGGTTGAGGAGTGTGGGGTAGTGTGAGAGGGGCTGTGATGCGGTAATATGTGGTTGAGTGTGGGGTAGTGTGAGAGGGGCTGCGATGCGGTAATATGTGGTTGAGGAGTGTGGGGTAGTGTGGGAGGGGCTGCGATGCGGTAATATGTGGTTGAGTGAGTGTGGGGAAGCTGTTGGAGGGCTGTGAATGCGGTAATAGGTGGTTGAGGAGTCGGTGGGGTCAGTGTGGAGCGAGGGGGCTTGCGTGGCCGGTCATATGCTGGCTTGAGGAGTGTTGGGGTAGTGTGGGAGGGGCGTGATGCGGTAATATGTGGTTGAAGGAGTATGGGGTAGTGTGAGAGGCGGCCGCTGGGCGATGTGCGGTCCATAGTGGTTGAGGAGTGTGGGGTAGTGTGAGAGGGGCTTGTGGTGCGGTATATATGGTTGGTTGAGGAGTGTGGAGGTAGTGTGGCGAGGGGCTGCGATGGCTGGTTAATATGCTGGTTGAGGAGGTGTCGGGGTAGTGTGAGAGGGGCTGGATGCGGCGGTGTAGTATATGTGGTTGAGGAGCTGTGGGGGTCGTGTGGGAGGGGCTGCGAGCGGTAGATATGTTGGTGAGGAGTGTGGGGTAGTGTGGAGCGAGGGCTGCGACTGCGGTACCTATGTGGTTTGAGGAGTGCTGGGGGTAGTGTGGGAGGGCTGCTGCGGTCGCGCGGTAATATGTCGTTGAGGAGGTGTGGGGTAGTGTGGGAGGGCTGTGAATGCGGGTAATATGTGGTTGATGAGTGTGGGGTAGTTGTGGAGGGGCTGTGATGGCGGTAAATATGTGGTTGATGAGTGTGGGGTAGTGTGGGAGGGGCTGTGATGCCGTAAATCTGTGGTTGAGTGAGTGTGGGGTAGTTGTGGGCAGGGGCTGTGATGCGGATAATATGTGGTTGATCGACAGTGTGGGTAACGTGTGAGAGGCTGTGATGTGGTAATATGTGGCTCGATGAGTGTCGGGTAGTGTGGGAGGGGGCTGTTGCATGCGGTACTATGTGGTTGAGGAGTGTGGGGTAGTGGTGAGAGGGGCTGTGATGCGGTAATTGTGGTTGCATGAGTGTGGGGTAGTGGGTGGGATGGGGCATGCGATCGCGGTAATTATGTGGTACTGAGGAGTGTGGGGTTAGTGTGAGTAGGGGTCTGCGATTGGCGGTAAATGTGGATTGAGGAGTGTGGGGTAGTGTGGCGCGCAAGGGGCTGGCGCTGCGGTAATATGTGGTTGAGGGGAGTGTTGGGTAGGTGCTGAGAGGGGCTTGCGATGCGGTAATATGTGGTTTGATGAGTGGCGGGTAGGTGGTGGAGGGGCTGTGTGCGGTAATATGTGGTTGATGGATGTGGGGTGGTGTGAGAGGGAGTCGATGCGGTATATGTGGTTGAGGAGTTGTGGGGGTAGTGTGAGAGCAGGCTGTGGATGTGGTAATATGTGGTTGAAGGAAGTGTGGGGTAGTGTAGAGAGGCTGCGATGCGGTGAATATGTGGTTGAGGAGTGTGGGGTAGTGTGAGAGAGGCTGTGAATGTGGTTAATATGGTGGTTGAGGAGTGTGGGGTAAAACGTGTGGGAGGGCTGCGATTGGCGGTAAGTTCTGTGGTTGAGGAGTGTGGGGTCAGTGTGGGAGGGCTGCGATTGGCGGTACATATGTGGTTGAGGAGTGTTGGGTAGTGGTGAGAGGGGCTGCGATGCGGTAATATGTGGGTTGAGGAGGTGTGGTGGTAGTGTGAGAGAGGCGTGTGGATGTGGCTAATATGTGGTTGAGGAAGTGTGGGGTAGTGGTGGGACGGGGCTGCGATGCGCGTAATATGTGGGTTGAGGTAGTGTTGGGTAAGTGTGGGAGGGGCTGCGATGCGGTTATATGTGGTTGAGGAGTGTGGGGTAGCTGTTGGACGGGGCTGTGATGCGGTTAATAGGTGGTTGAGGAGTGTGGGGTAGTGTGAAGAGGGGCTGCGCATGGCGGTTAATATGGTGGTGAAGGAGTGTGGGGTAGTGTGGGGAGGGGCTGTGACTGCGGTAATATGTGGTTTGAGGAGTATGGGGTAGTGTGAAGAGGGGCTTGCGAATGGCGGTATAGGTGGTTGAGGAGTGTGGGTATGTGTGAGAGGGCTGTGGTCGCGGTATATGTGGTTGAGGAGTGTGGGGGTAGTGTGGGAGGGCTGCGATGCGGTACATCTGTGGTTGAGGTTTAGTGTGGGGTAGTGGTGGAGAGGGGCTGCGATGGCGGTAATATGTGGTTGAGCGAGTGTGGGGTAGTGTTGGGCAGGGGCTGCGATGCGGTAATATGTGGTTGAGGAGTGTGGGTAGTGTGGGAGGGGCCTGGCGGATGCGGTACTATGTGGTTGACGGAGTGTGGGGTAGTGTGGGAGGGGCTGTGATGGCGGTAATATGTGGTTGAGGAGTATGGGGTAGTGTGATGAGGGGCTGCGATTGCGGTCATTAGGTGTGTTGAGGAGTGTTGGGGTTAGTGTGAGAGGGCGTGTGCGGTAATGGATGTGGTTTGAGGAGTCGTGGGGTCGTCGTGGGGAGGGGACTGCGATGCGGTCATATGTGGTTGATGAGTGTGGGTAGTGTGAGAGGGCTGGCGATGGCGGTCATATGTGGTTGAGAGAGTGTGGGGGTAGTGTGGGAGGGGTCTGCGATGCGGTAGATATGTGGTTGTAGGAGGTGTGGGTAGTGTGGGCAGGGGGCTGCCCCGCCGATGGCGGTAATATGTGTTGAGGCAGTGTTGGGGTAGTGTGGGAGGGGCTGCGATGCGGTAATATGTGGATCTGAGGAGGTGGTGGGTAGTGTGGGAGGGGCTGATGATGCGGTAATAGTGGGTTGGTTGATGAGTCGTGGGGTAGTGTGGGAGGGCTGTGATGCGGTAATATGTGGGTTGATGAGTGTGGGGTAGTGTGGAGGGCTGTGATGCCGGTAATATGTGGTTGACTGCGTGTGGGGTAGTGGTGGGAGGGGCTGTGATGTGGTAATATGTGGTTGCTGAGTGTGGGTAGTGTGGGAGAGGGCTGCGAATGGCGGTAATATGTGGTTGAGGATGTGAGGTAGTGGTGGGAGGGCTGTGATGTAGTAATATGTGGTTGAGGCGTGTGGGGTAGTGGGTGGGAGGGGCTGTGTATGTGGTAATATGTGGTTGAGCTGTGGGTAGTGTGGAAGGGCTGCGATGCGTAATATGTGGTTGATGAGTGGTGGGGTATGAGTGGCGAGAGCGGCTGCGATGCGGTAATCATCTGGTGTTGAGCGAGTGGTGGGGTTAGTGTGGGAGGGGGCTGTGAGGGTAATTATGGGTTAGGAGTGGGGGTAGTGTTGGGAGGGCAGCCTGTCGATGCGGTAATATGCTGGTTGAGGAGTGTCGTCGGTTAGTGTGAGGAGGGCTGCGATGGGCGGTAATATGTGGTTGAGAGAGTGTGGGGTTAGTGTGGGAGGGGCTGCGATGGCTGGTACATATGTGCGTTGACGATGTGGGGTATAGTGTGGGACGGGGTGCGATGCGGTAATATGTGGTTAGGAGTTGTGGGGTGTGTGGGGGGGCTTGGATGCGGTAATTATGTGCGTTGAGGAGTGGTGCGGTAAGTGTGAGAGGGGCCTGCGATGCGGTAAATATGTGGTTGAGGAGTGCTGCCGGATAGTGTGGGAGGGCTGCGATGCGGTCTGCGGTAATATGTGGTTGAGTGTGGGGTAGTGTGGGAGGGGCTGCGATGCGGTAATATGTGGTTGAGGAGTGTGGGGTAGTGTGGGAGGGGCTGCGGTGCGGTAATATGTGGTTGAGTGTGGGGTAGTGTGGGAGGGGCTGCGATGCGGTAATATGTGGTTGAGGAGTGTGGGGTAGTGTGGGAGGGGCTGCGATGCGGTAATATGTGGTTGAGGAGTGTGGGGTAGTGTGGGAGGGGCTGTGATGCGGTAATGTGGTTGAGGAGTGTCGGGTAGTGTGGGAGGCAATGTGAGAGATGCAGATGCGCTACTTCCGCAGATCCACACAGGCATCTCCTATGCACTATATAGACATGTTAACCTGAGGTTAACCCAGGTTCAAATAATCTTTTTGAGGTATGTGCGTGCGTGCGCGTGTGCCTGACAGCACCAACAAAAGAAAGGAAACGTAGTTAGTTACCCTTTCGCCAATTTTTTTGCCATGATGATGTTTTATCCATCTTGTAGCAAAAATTGCTGAACCGAAAATGCTGCCTGGTTAAGACATGTGGTAAACTGTCGGAGTAACTTGTGACGGTTTCAAATAAGTGAAACGGGTAGCTTATGTACGGATGCCTGAAGATCATATCCGGTAGTTATTCAACAATCAGCAATGGATATACATTATACAATATATTGTTATTATATTATCTGGCTCTAGGTTTAATATCCTAGTTTGAATTACCCACAGACAGGCGTTAAATAATAACTATTAACCTAATAAATTGTATTCCAAAGAATGTTTATTAAACCAAAAGGAAAATGTGACAAACAAATCATGAATATAGTAGACATGTAATCTATTCTATTATCAATATAGAATAATGGACAGATTTTTGATGGATTAGCACGCTTTTGAAAACGCTAACCCCAAGATCACTTGAAAACGCTCGTACAGTTGCTTATGTAGCATTACAATTATGCAGTCACACTATAGCGACTATCTAAGCCTGCACAACAGATGCTGCCCCTTGCGGTAAACATGCTTACAGTCAGCTGACTTTTCCATCAAAATTTGTTTCTTACGACACAATTCATAGGAGAACACGATCGCTTTAAATGAATATATGCTATTAAACCTAGTTCAGAAACACGAATAACATTCATGCTGGAATATGGCGTGTCACGTAGCAGTAATTAGTGAGTGTCAGAATTATTTATACACTACTCATATAGTAAACGGACACACACAAGGGACATGTTAAAGGTGACGTCATCTACCACACGTTCAGTGGTTTGGCTAGTATAGAAGTGCGTTACTGCTTGTAAACAGCATATTTCACGCGCGCTTAAGTAAATGCAATGATCTGCAATTGTAACAATACATTAAAACGCCTGGATATTGTAAACAAAACGGATAATTATAAATTGCCAGCATGTACTGCCAGGTGATATATAAAAATCGCAATGACACCATGACATTTAAAATACACGATTAAAATAACCCGGACTGTAACTAGTTAATTTTAAATGAATTTTTAACAAATTGAAAAAAGAAAATATTGCAGAAATGTTTGCTTATGTCACAACACAAATTCCAAAACATAATAGAAATATCGGTGACGTGTGCGGCTATAACCAGTAAGATGTTCGCACGATACCAATATACTGTTACATGTGTACGTGTTACGTGTGTACGTGCGCATATCTTGTGTTGCGTATAAGCGTTTCGTGTATATAGCCGCCAAACAGAATTCACACAAACGAATTGCATTAAATTGTATCACGAAATATTTACTAAATGGTCTAGCTGACACAAGAAATCGAACGATGAAACAACTCTCACCACACCTTTGCAACTTCCTCTCCATCGCATATGCCTGAAAAGATTCCTCGAGAAAAACTTCGGGTAAATAGTGGCAGTGACTGATAACCAATACATATTAGCACCTCCTAAATCTCAAACCTGCCTGTAGCTACATTAGCGAAGACAAGTATGCTATGTTACGACGTTCCACAAGATAAAACGCATTCTTATTGGGTCTGCCTATGTATAATATAATAGATTGTGCGAGCAAACTGATTTAGTGTGAGGTAATTCTTGGCTCGGCTCGATTTATATAGACCGAGTACACAGGTATGACTTCACAAAATGTACAATTTTGCATGTCAAACAGGGAGGCAGCCACGAACCGCTTGGCTCTTGTGCGAACGAACAAAAAGACACCGAACACACACTCACAGAAAACCAGAAACAGTGTGTACCTAATACCGACGGAATTATCCAAATTTGCATCAGTCATACATGCATCCACAGCAGTTTTGTGAATATAAAACCTCCCTTACATTTCATCAGCTTTCCACAGGTTTCAGAATTGCACAAACACGCTACGTCACTAAGATGGATAACGGGATAACTTCTTTTCACCACATTACGCAAGATACAACCACAGTACATGCTCACGAGTGATTGATCAGGTTATAGTACATACAGTCCATCAGCAGGGCCACATGCTTCTGTGCCCAAGGCTGACACGGGGTGCTCCACCCTGACATGGTTCACACAGGACTGAACTTTTTTTCAAGGACATTTTATCAGACATTTCTTCGGAATTCATACACAGAACAAACCATACCTGGATTAATTTAATAATAACCCCATTCTTAATCACTGTCACCTCTAAAACTTACCTGGATCCCATTAATAAACCCTTCTAAACACTGTCACTTCTACAACATACCTTGATTTACTGACTGATTTTACTGACTTACTGTAATTTGTGATCATCATTTAACTGTCTATCGTGTCTATAGCTTTTTAAGCTCATTTAATGCAATTTTTATTGAGGTTTGCACATTATTGATGGTACAAAATTTCTTTTTATTACAGACAAGGATTCTTTCTAAAAATTCAAGGACTTTTCAAGCACAAAATCAACATTTACTAAATTCAAGTACTTTTCAAGGACTCCCCTCAAATTCAAGGACTGTGCGAACCATGCCTGATGTTAGCTCGTGCTGAGGGTAATGATTCACAATTTGTTCGAACAGATACAACGATTAGTCACCACCGCAAAGAGAACAGATAGTACAACCACGAGTACGGATGGCTCTGCCAGTAGATTCGTCTGGCCACGCAATAGTCCCTATATTCTAGAATCGCAGCCGAGTCGCATGAGAAATCGCTAGGTCTGCAGGAACTGCAATTCTGGTCGCTTGCGACGAGTCGCAAGAAATCAAACATGTTTGATTTTCAGCAACTCGTCGCTCCGAACTCGCATGTGTGCGGGTAGACAGCGACTTGCAACGATGACAAATTCTCGTCCGACCAATCAGCGAGCATCATCTCATCACGTGCTATTTCAATATGGCTACGCTCACAGCAACAAGCTGGAGTAATGAGAAAGAAAGCATTTTGCTAGATATGTGGATGGAGAGGCCGGTTTTGTTTGATGTTACACTGCCGGAATACAGCGATTGCACTAAGAAACATGCGGCATATAAAGATGTCGCGATCCAACTGGAAATGACGGGTAAATACTGCCCATGCCGCCAGCGTCATTTTTCGCCAAATGGTAGCCAGTCGCTTGTATGCGCACACTCGGCGAGACGTGCGACCATGCGATTGCAGGTCGCAGCGACGCGCGACCAAAAGTCGCAAGTCTGGGCTAGGCTTTATATTTAGTGCCGCGCAAACTGAGCCATCCTTCTGGCATATCACTGAAAATTTGGCCTATTAGTATTGCTAACTCATAAAAAATCTAATTTTATTTCATCAACATGTCAAATGCCATTGAAATACACTTATTAATCTTATATTGGACACCATATTAGCATGTGCAATGAACACATGACATTTTGTATTACCAGGTAAACAATTTCAAACTGGGTATAGAAATTTCCCATTGCAAGTCTCCATGCTCCTGAAACTGAATGCGATCGGCCCATACCGATTTCAATGAATAGACACTTAGACAAAACAATCACCTGAACCCAAAACTTAAGACATGATTACATGGGGCAGTATCAATTGGCTACCGAAAATGCTATAAAAACAGAAACGACAACTGCTAATAATTACGCTTATTACACGTTGTAACTAAAATCTATCTCTGCTAAATGCAACTGAAAATGTCTAACTTATGATTACATCCAATCATATAAGAGGTGTTCACACGAGCTTCACGGCCTCGCTGGTTCCGTACTTATCTGGTGCTTAATTCGGCTGAAATACAGTGATAACACAACCCGCAGCGTTCACACTCGAATCGAGGCTTAGCTGGCTAGGTATAATAGTAAATAATTTCTCTGCTAGAGGGAAGTGTTTTTCATGATGGCGGCACCATGAAAGTCAGTTGTTTGTGGCAGTTTTTCAGTAAAATTACACAAAATCACACAATTACTTCTTTCAAACCCCATTTCCTTCAGCTGAGCAGACATTTCACCATACACAATGCTGTCTTTTCTTGTGCCTTGCAATCTCGATCTTACTCGTTCATCACCAAATATCGAGATCAATGCTGCGGTCTCGTTGTGCGACCACAACTGTCGCTGTCGCTTTGCTTCTTCAGATGAGAATTTTTTGGTGGCATGATCAGAAATAGAGATGATGGAACAAAAATTCGCAGGAAATTCGGAGAAATATTTTCAAGGGCATGAGCCGGAAGTGAAAAACGACACTACGCCACCTAGTATCAATGTAGCGCACTACAGTTTCATGACTTACGAGGCCTCGAATTGCGTTCACACGACAGACAATACGCGACCAGCGTTGTGCCGTACTCAAGCGGGTGTTTCGGCGCGGAATCACTTTCCGCGCCGAACAAGCCTCGTATTTCAGTACGGTACTTGGGAGGCGGCGTATAAGCCTTGAATATTTTTACCGTGTGAACGCCAAGTACGGTACTGAAATCCTCGTGTGAACGCAGCTATATATATGCACTAGTAAATAAATGAACAATACACTGTTGTACTTGTCATTGTAACTATTACAAGTTACATATAAACGTTTCTGTATAATTCAAAACAACAGCGATTTCTTTCTCGAAAAGCACATGGTAAATTGTGGGTTATTAAAATATAGTCCAACTTTCCTCATATAATATGCATTATTTTCTGATTAAAGGAAAACATTAGTATAGGTTTAATGCTTATTTTCAGTTGATCAGGTCTTAATTGTTACATAAAAATAGTTCATTGTTTAATATTTACTAGAAATTTTTTTTTTAATTGTTTCAAAAAATGACATTTTGTTTACGTCAGCTAGTGGCATCAATATCTGTGCTGCTACGACAGTTGCATAAATCCAGTTTTCAGCTGCACGCAATATACCGAGTCTTTATTAAGTCTCAGTTCAAAGATCAAATTCTATACTAATGTTCCTCTTTAAGAATGCACCATGGTGGACTATGAAACATGGTTTTTTAAATACCAGACAATATTAAAACACAGAATCTTGGTCAATTATTTCATCAGCAGATTTGAAATCAGTACAACCCATACAATTTCTACAATCTGATGAGACAGGTAGATAATTTTTTTGAGTTAACTACAGTAGATCTATGACATTACTAAACGTGCATGTAATACAAGTCTTCAGATATTACCTCCCTAGTTCAAACAATGTGCACTGATCCTTATTCCTACGCAGATGCCATTGCATTTGTGAACAAATTGTAATATTGTGATATGAACATGAAAAATCACGTAAATGCGAACACACGGGTAGATATTCTCAACACAACCCTTTTTGGGACCAATATACTTAATAGGAACACTATCAGCAACCACTACAGCCAGCTGTGCTATTATCTTCATGAATAAATTCGTTCCTGCTTCAATAACAATTGGCATGGTGCCGATACAATGAAAATCTCCTAGGTTTAGATTTAGACAACAGAAGAGTGATGGTTTGTATCACGTTTTTGTATCCAATCATGGTGGGAAAATTTCAGACAGCGACCATGAATATAGAGAAAGCCGGGCAACTACCTTTCACAATATGCCACTATAACTGCTGCTCCCGTAGTTGGAAGTGCAGGTCCACACTCACTTACATGATCCAACACTTTTCATCACGAGATCGTGGATCACCCTGAAAAGCAAATAAGAGAACATTAGCAATGGTTTCAAGAACTTTTTAATAAAGAAATCACAGTTTATGATCACACATGCACGAGTGTTTTTTTTAACGATACGGTGCTGGTGCAACAAGCCTTTGCTCAGTTATCCCAATAATTGGTAAATGGTGCATGAGCTCTAAAACATATATGCTCATAAGGGATGGTTAGTGATCTCTTGAAAACATTTAACAGTTTCCGCGGCAGAGTTTTAATCACTCGTGCAACCAATGCGGGTAACCTGTTGGTGAAAGAGGTGTTCATGGCCCACCTCTAGGTAAGATCCCTCCTGCTGGAATGAAGAGGCGCGCAGTTGACGAAAATTCTCCCTCTCACCAACTTCCTGCAAATTACACACAACAAATAATGAGGCTCTGCATCACCAGAGATTCATTATTTAACTTCTCTATACAATCACTGTATATCTATATTTACTTCCAAATTGGCAATCAGGCCTGCCAAAATCTGTTTTGACACAGAATTTGATACTTTTTGCCACTGGTGTAGACAATGTTAATATTTGTTCTGGCTACAAATAACTGTGGTATTGCAAGGTAAAATTTTTTTAAATTGCAGACCGATTTACAAAGATGTGCGAATCCCATTGCACAGGTTAAGTAAAGTTGAGTTTACATTATCGACTTCTAGTTGAAAAGTTGACAATTTTACTCATAATTTTCCATAAACTTCATATAGTCAAAAATTAAGCATGTTCAGTGCATTTACATTATCAAGCCTTTGAAAGTCAGCTGCACAATTCCATTGACTGTGACTGTGTGTGCATGGGGTGGGCAGTTGGCGTTAGATATACATGTGAGTGGAGGGGGGAGGAGGAGAACGGAGAAGGGGAAGGTTCGCTACACCATTACACCTATTATTATGATTCGTTATTTGCTTTCTATGACACGTACACATATAGACGTATGCAATACATGAATAACAAATATTACAGGCATTCGCTGAGTAATGAACTTTGTAACGAGTATTGAAGTCTTGGTTCGTGAACCCCTAACTTCCTAGCAAACGATACTATATATAAAACTGGTGGAACTAGACACAAGGACAGTGGCATGTTAGAGCAAAGGACATGACTTTTCCATGTATTTATATCACATTATATCATGGATATTCACAATATATATTATATCCTATATTTCACTTCTTCAATGGTGCAAGTAAGGTTTAGTCTAATGGTGGACTAAATTAACTTAAAATTAACCACCAGGGCTTTAATTTAGCAATATCTTGTAATTTTGCATACAAGAGATGAAGATATGGGATAAACAACAGTTTTGTGTGGGGCGTGCTAAAAACTTACAAAAAAGAAGAGTTAAAACAGATGTTAATTCTGATAGTGTAGTTACTCTTACCTCGCCCTCACTATCTATGAGAATGGTCTTCATGGACTCGCCGCTGTACCACTTTTGATTTTTCATCACAAGGTCCGATGGTGGATTGTGTGTGACATCCTTTACGTCACTGCTCCACACCTGCATCAACAACAACTAGTGAGGCGCAATACACCAATGCTTTACATCTAAAAATATGCCACCCTGTAAAGCACTAGGGTACCATGACTACCTAGTGTTCGGTGAAAAGTGGATCTTGATCACAATACATGTAGGGATATATTGACAAAAAAAAATTCTAGGACTATTCCAGGAGTTTTCTAGGACTTAATATATCCATTTTGTAGCACCTTTTAAAGATTGAAGCCAAACACAATCTTAACTAGAACTAGAATCATCTAATCAACAATTAGTGAACAAACTCCAGCCCCAAGCAGTTTTATTCTACTTCAAACAGCGCTATAACTAAACCGTAATAAAATTACACGTTTCAGTATATTTAAAAGCTTATTATTAGTATAATTTAGACATGACTGCTAAAAATTTTCATACACTATCTACATACAAATACTTCTCCCAGTTTTGTTCGCTCACAATTGAATGATAAATAACTCCCGTATTGGTATGCATTAGATTTCAGGGGGTTTCTGACAGACAACAGAACTAAGGAGGATTGGCTACACAAATTTTAATCAGGTATTTTTTAATGGACCGATTGTTTTAATCATTACGGATCTGAGCATCCAAATCTTTTAAAATTCAATTTTATGCTAAATGCCTTTAAACAAACAAAAATCTGATGTATATGGCCAAGGGATTAGTGGATGGTTCTCTAAACACCTGAATATAAAAACAGAACATTGTTTTTGCTTGTCTGTGGCAAACACATGCACACACGCACTCACACACATAAAGACACAATACGCTGACATACCGATAAAGCTACAGACCTCTAACGATAACATTTAGCTGATACATTACAGGTACACAATAAATTTGAGCTGCATACACATAAGAATAATCTATTTAAATACTTTACATTAATGTGTTGTCCAGCCTTTAGGATGATGTTCCTGTGGAACTTGTATGTGATCTCCTTGTCCCCAGTTATGCGCTTCAGCTGCCAGGTACCGATGTGAATGTCCTGAAGGGTGGGACATAAATACGTTTACATTCTTTGGTGAATACTCACCATTGGGCAGTGTACTATCGCTACACTAAATAGGCAAACTGATACCTTACACATTATTAGAACATTATCAGGTATCTTAAAATAAGCAAGATTAACAATAAGCAAGATTATCAATCTCAAACTCAATCAATATTTGGTTTATTTTATGGACAAGTGTTACAATAGTAAAAGTCTAATTTTAAGTACAATGCCTTGTCTGTCACCTAACCCTATCCCACAATGGCTACGCTACGTTCAGGTATTGGGACATCATCCTGTCAATGGGGAAATTACTAAATGTCACAGGTAACTAAAAAATACACCAACATAAAAAGCAGTTTTTTGACCTTTCAAAATACATATGTACGTGCAGGTTGCAGGGAAAGCTTTGTTACCAGATAATATCTAAACCATCAATTTTTTGCCATGTCGTTTGATAAGAATATAAATATATCTGTTAAATAAAAACTTGTTATAATTTTGTTTCTGATAAAGACATGCGAGAAGGAGGAATACACTATATGCCTTGAAACAACCAATAAAATTTTTTCTTCACATATTACTAAATTTTCATTTGTCATTCATTATTTTTTGATAACATAAAAAGTCATATCTGGGCCGAGTTATACTTCTCTTACTTAAATTAAGGCATCATATAATCAGGAGTGTATCAAAAGGAGTAAGGCACGCTAAAAACCGGCAAAATTCAACATTTAGTAGCCTTAAGTCCTACCTATGATTTATTGTGTTTACCTCGATAAACGTTGAGCTCAAGTATTTTGCCTTAATCATTAAACTTTATCCGTGTCTAATCGTTGGTCTTATAAAAATGACAAATCCGGAGATATGCGGTTCAAACATACAAATGTGGTTGTTATCAATTTACATCGCATTATTATGATCTGTGAACCGAAACATAAGGGCAATGCTTTGAAAGCCCTCTATGCGCGTAGCAATGCAAACATAGCAAAGAACTAGCGAGGTTTGCTAGGGATTTCGGAAAGTTAAACACGCCTTGTTGTTATTATAGGCCATGTCGAATGACAGTAATTACATGTTATGAACAATATTGTTAAGCAAGCAAATAAAATGGATAAAAATACTAAACATTTGAAATTTTTTATTTCTAATGTAAATAGTATCAATAACACCACGTCGTGTTTAACTTTCCGAAATCCTAGCAACCTCGCTAAGTTCTTTGCTATGTTTGCATGGCTAGCGCGATAGAGGCTTTCAAAGCATTGCCCTTATGTTTCGGTTCAACAGATCATAAATAATGCGATGTAAATTGATAAAACCACATTGTACGTTTGAACCGATACCTCTGCGATTTGTCATTTTTATGAGACCAACGATTAGACACGGATAAAGTTTAATGAATTAAGGCAATACTTGAGCTCAGTTTATCGAGGTAAACACAATAATCATAGGTAGGACTAAGGCTACTAAATGTTGAATTTTTGCCGGTTTAGCGTGCCTTACTCCTTTTTGATACACTCCTGATATAATGTTACAAAAATATCTGTTACAGTATTTAAAATTGAAAAGGCCAAATATCTTAATCTGGATCCTGCTGTTGTAAACTGTTATATTTTAGTGAAAGGAATCCGGAAAGCTAGATGCATATAATATACACACAGACGTGCACGAAAACACGGAATAATCACGATTTCAAAATATCACCAGAGGTAATTCGCATTAAATACTCCTGAAAGGTGTGATAGGAAACAAACAAAAACATTCTGACAGCTTACCTTATCAGATGTGTTTGACAGCTTGACAAACTTGCCGTCAGGATCACACTCCATCACCCGTACTTCCCCTTTGCTGGAGTCGGTGGTGGAGTACTCATACTCCTCTGCACCAGCCATACGCTTGCGCTTTCTACTACGTCCACCAAAGATGCCTCTAGAGCGTGACAGTGACGGTGGGGTATCGATGTTAAGCCTGAAGGAAGGGCAACGGTTACCTTTGCAATTTGGTGCAATACCCCAAAGCAGCCTTAAAAGAACCATCTCTCATATATACAATACATCAAAAATCTAAAAAAAACATGTCGCATGTAGCAAAAGTAAAACATGTAGTAAAACAAGCCTAACCTATTAGCAGATGTACTACTCATTACACCAACTTTAGGTAGGATTTATTCTGTTATATAGTATATAAAATAGCAAATAATGCAGCCACATTCGTCAATGTCACGACTACTTCATAAACGGTGCTTAAGACACAAGAACATCTAATTATGACAAAAGTGCATCCGATTCTGTGACGTAAATGGTTCTAAACTGGCACTGTCCCTATTACTTTACGCATGTTACCATAAACAAAATGTAGAGACAGAGTCTCGCAAGAAACAAATGTCATCAACAAGTAACCAACAAAAGATCAGCAAAGAACTTTCAATCAGTGCACATTGGTGAAAGTAACGATGTATGAGTTTTCTAAGACATGTTAGCCTTAGTGCAGACACTTGCTATTATAAAATTAATACTAGTAAGCATCCCGATCGTCGGAAAAACACAAGAATCGTCAGGAAATATTACATTTACTGCAAAATTACGATACATGGTGCTACACATAGTATGGGTAAATTCTGTTCATAATAACCAGTCATACATGCCAACCCTGAATGAACCGAACACTATACGATGTGTAGTGACTAGTGAGACAGTACATTTTCAGTGAAACTGATGAATGAATCGCTACCAGTGTTCGAAATTCACGTCGGCCCGCCGCCGACAGTTTCTTGATAAAACAGGCCCGCTGATACTACAGCTATTTGATCACCGAAAATTCGAAACACTGAGAAACTGTTACCTGTAGAAATCTTTTCTTGCATATTAACTTCCAGGGGTATTTATTTGAAAACTAATCCGTGATAAACCGTGACATACATGTAAACAATGCGTTTGCCCATTGCATATTTGCGCAGCCTGATTGTAAATGAAAGAGCGATAGCCTGGAACCCTGTTCCAAGCTGCGCACCACAGTGTAGTAAACTAAAGGGCAAGTTGCCAGTCGAGTGCGGAATTAGCTGCGAGTAACATGAAATCGTTTCTCATTGGTGGGTGACCGTGGGTCTGGTCTGAGCAGTGTCTCAGATTTCGACCAATCGACATGACTGAAAGATCGACACATGGTTAGACTGGTGTACGTATGACGGCTCCACTCGCAATGTTATGAGACGCTACTACGTTGCTACCGATGTGTACCAGACTACCAGTCTGTCTCTCTGCTATCAAAGTGGAGAGTCGTAGTTACCAAGGAGCTACATATAACACCGATGGGGCGTTTCCTTAATTGTGAGCCCCCCCCCCCAAAGAAGCATAAACAGTCATCCAACGAGAGGAAGGAAAAACAGAGGGATTATAATTATGTAAAATTGATAATGACTAATAAACACAAGGAAGAACATGATATGCTGTTTTATTACTGTAATTTGCTCCAAAATTGGCGGGCCTGTACCGGCGTATTTGGATGCTCGCCCGAAACTGGACGCTCCTAAGTGCGCATGCGCGCAGGCGCCTCTTGTTTTGCAAGGGCGCACACAGCGCATGCGCAATATGCGCATCTTGCCCTTCGACACGGTCGCAATAAACAAACATGGCGGACTTCCCTGTCACTGATGGAAACATTTGATTGAAACAATTTGCAATATGTAGTAAATTAGTAAGACTGTGTTATGTGTGTCAGGTTACAATGCGAAACAAAAGAAAACAAAAGAGCATGTCTACTATTTCCTACGGCCGTGCAAAACAAGATTCAAACAAAAAGAAAACAAGAGCAAAACAAAAGAGCATGCCTACGGAGCGTCCAAATACGCCGGTACAGGCCTACAGCTTTTTCTGCTCAGTGGCAAACACTGACCGCTACACACATACAGAAGGCATGCAACACAAACATTTAGTAGGTGGGAGTTAAAAAAAAAATGCTATGCAGCGCCTTTAGAAGCTATATCCAAAACAACATTTTCCCCAGAAAATAAGTATCAATGAATACTGCATCGAATTAGAACCCAAATAAACCCCACGCGAGTTGATTACAAAACAAATAAACACATGAAGGCAAAATGGTTACTACCAGGAAAGGGAAGACTCAAGAGACACTGGTTATTCCAGATGAGGTTGCTTATTAAGAAAAGTGTCTTACCTTGCCTCTTCACCCTCCAACATCTTGCGATAAGCAGCAATCTCCATGTCAAGTGCAATTTTGATGTCCATCAGATCCTGGTACTCCTGCAAGTTCTGGGCAATCTGGCAGGACAAAACAACCACTCGAATTGTAATACTCCAACCAAAACACAAACGTTATTAATTTTGTAGTCAGCTTTTTAGCCTGCAACCTGCAACTCTGGATAAGTTAGTAATAACGTTGTACACTGCTTTTCAGCAAGTCTCTGGCAAAATTGCATGCCATAGCACATTTCTTATCGTAGTACATTTACTTTGCATAGGCTGAAGGAAATAACGCAGACAGTGCTTCAACAAATAAGTTTTTCGGGGTATATGAATACTTTTTAAGATATGCGTAACAAGAAAATTGTGCAATAAAAACTTAACGAAGGATTACAATACGAACAGCCGACGTTTGCCGTCACATATACCAGTATTTCACCCGATTTAATGCTACTTTTGCTTACATCATTTTATAAAGAATAAAAACAACTGCATACTATTTTGCATGTTATTTATCAATATTTATGTTTAGTTCCATAAATCTGAAAGAAATCTGTAAAGTTCTGCAATGCCTAACCTAATTTAAAATCCTGGCAGAAAGTCTACTACCATAGACAATTACCTAGCAGGGCTCCTCCCAGGCCTTTAATACATGCTGGGTCCATCATGCTTACAATGCCAAAGTTAATTTGTGACATCCCGTAAATTCACCGACATGCCTTAATTGCCTAATCAACATTGCCTAATTTTCAGCTCTGTTGACTTTTGACAATCCCAACAGTCATGCACTGTGCTTTCACAACTTGACGTATACATCTCCTAACTCTTTGATTTGTGTATTGGGGCCCTTACGAAAAGCATAGTGGCTCCAATTAGCAACCCGGGATGAAATGCCTGATTACATGACATGCCTCCTAAAATTTCTGGAGAGAACCCTACATTGACATTAAAACCTGAACATAAAAAATTAGGAACAAAGCTAACACACCTGTGCATACAGATTCTTGATTTCATCATCGCGCTGGCTCATCTGGTCCCGATGCTCCTCTCTCTCACGATCCAGAGCCCTCTCTAGGCCACGCATGCGTGCCTCCAGAGCCGCTCTCTAATAAACAATGATATCAATCAATACAAGCAACTATATATAATTAGCTAGTAATGTCCAAATGACCTATAATAATCAGTAATCAATCGATAATCAATCACAAAAAAACTGCCCCACCATAACCCATGTGGCAAACTGCATCACAACATAGCGTACACATCCACGCACACACGCACGCACGCACGCACGCACACACAAGAATTTAGTCCGTGTTAAAAAAACATGTTAGTGTAGAGCTTTACCACAATTCCTGCGCACATACCTCACTGTGTACAAACCACAATTAATAAAGCTCATCAAACAAGTTAGGTGTGGCACCATACAAGGCTGTACCTCACTCTCAAAGCTCTCCGCTTGTGCCTTCAGTGAATCATACTCAGAACGCATCTCCTTAATCTGGGCACGAGCCAGACGTGCTGCGTCGCTGTCACGGTCAGATACGTGCTTCAGATCAGCTAGCTGTAAAGTGTAAGAGAAATGCACGAATCAGTTATTGGTGCCTATGTAATGTCAAGATGCAAATGTCATTGTTAATAGTGGCATACAACCTTTTGTTAACATGTACATTTTGACATTCATGGGCTAGTTTTATAACGAATGTTACATGCTATTTCAAAGGGTTTGCAAACCCCCTCCTGTAGAAACTGACATTATTGATTCAGGGGTAGAAATTAACCTTTGAACAAGGGACGTTCAAAAGTAAAGATATTAACAATAACGCATGCGCTTATATTTAATATTCATGCAGTTGCACGTCTGCCAAATTTTCTTTGGACATTAGCTGAAAAAATACAGTAATTCCGCGAGGCCGTGCTCCGGAACGAACTAGTTAGTATGGCAGAATTTTCAGAGAGTCACACGGACTCCTGCATATGTCAAATCAGGGAATCCGACAGTAAATTAGGGAGTATTTGACTCCGGACTCCCGTTAATTTCGCACCCTGTTGATTAGTAAGGTATTATCTAGCACTGCAGAGGGGTATGCTTATTCAACGATACATGCCACTGCTATTACTGACAGACACCATATCTATGCGAGTAGAGCCGTGGGTGGGAATAAACACCTTTTTAGTTAGGTGTAAACTAGTCCCTGCCAAAGTGACAAAGATTATCTGATAAATTCTGATAAACTATACATGATTACTTGTACATGAAATGAACTGGAAAAATTACATGTCATATAACTTTTATATTATAGTACATGTGCTTCGTGTAAGCTGATAAAAATAATGAATTAATACGTTTTATAGATGAATGAGCAAGGCCAAGCCTTGCAATGAGTATGAACAAGTTTTTTAACGAGACTTCCAATACGGTGTACTATAGTCTGATGTAGAACCTAAAAAGATGTATTTAATAATCTTCAGTGGCAGCAACAACTGCCAGAAAACATCTACCCAAGCTAGCAATCATGAACCACGTTGTAAAATATAACCATGTTTCTAATGGATCAGCATCTATGATTCTAGACAGACATATAGGAGTCCATTCATACTGCATAACTGTGTAAAAGTACAGATAATATACACAGCAACGACAGGTCATACAAACTGTAGCTCGCTGTCGGCAATGTCCTAAAGCCCAAAACCCAATCAGCAGAACAGAGGGCTGCTCTCAACAACAGATGTTTCTATACCTGGGGCCGGTTTCACGAAGCGTACTTAACTTAAGTATAATTAAATCACTAATCATACTTAACTTCCCGTAATTATGATTAGTTAATCATACTCAACAAGAGCCGCAGAGCGTCTGGGCTCATCTGGGGTCTGTTGCTACGGTTATGAACGTACAATTTCAGTTGTGCGTAGTGACACATTTGTTAGGCGCAGATATGCAGATACGCAGTTGCGTACACATCATTGTTAGGACACGCTCACTATCTTCCCCCCATGCGATTTTGGTTTATTTTATTAAATGATACTTGCCTTTCACTTCGAATTTGTGTCATAGATTCACAGCTATCTATTTTTATCTATCTATAAAAGATTTCAACATATGAGCATGGATCTCCAAGTATAATTAGAGGGGGCGGGGAGTCCTTCTCCCCACCTCCCTCCCTCCTCCCTCCCCCTGCCTCCCACTTCACTCCCCTTGCCTCTCACTTCCACCCCCTTACCTCCCATCTCCCTCCCCCTG